TGTCCTCAGCTGCGAGAGAAGATACTGAAAAATCAGCCGTTTGTTCCCGTGGAAGTCAGTTTGGCTAATTCTCTTAGAAGAAACCCAGGTCTCTATAATCAAATGACCGTAATTACACCTGACACCAACTTAAGCTCTGCCTCGGACTTTAATAAGAGGGAGGTGCTGTGTCTGCGCAGCGCTGACCACACGGGCTGACCAGGAGGAGAACATGTGACGGTCTGCAGTTCGCTGTAAATAAATGACTGAAGAAAAGACACAACGCTGCTGAAACTCAACTCAGCACTAACATGCTGCTAAAACTGTGCAGATTTTGTGATTCGGGGCCAATTTGCCCATTTAGCAAAACGGTGCGTTTTCTGTGTGTTTTAATTCCCATCCGTACAACTACTGTAGAAGACACGAAGCACAAATTGAGAAAGGAACTGGTTCTGACAGAAGAGCATTCCCACATTTTTGCAGGTCAGTCAAGCAAACTGAGGCCCACATGCCAGAAATCTACAACATTGTACCACGATGAAATCAGAAAGAATACACAAGGTTTTTACTTCAGCTGCAGCAATACTTCCAAGTTCTCCAAGTGAAGATTTTTCAAAAGTGGTAGGATTTATAACAGACATGTGGCAGGTCTAATGAAATTATTTGGCCCGAAAAACCCAGAGTAAACGAAGTATATTAACGATGCCAAACTAAAAATACATTTGCCAATTAATCAGCCCTCAAGGAAATGTCGCACAAAGTAAAAATATATTTTAATGCTTCAATCGAATTTTTTTTATTTTCCTTTGATAGAATACCTGTGCAAAATAAAAACACTACAGAAGTAACACTCTCAATTGCAGCTTCAACATTAACAGCCAAGTGGCTGTTCATGCATTACTGCTGTAACCTCGAGAAACTGTTTTATAGAATCGAGGCCACGGCTGCATGAGAGACGGTCATAAACAGAGTCTGTAATGTGTGTTGCACATTACATAGCCTGTATATTATGCCATAAAAAAAAAGCCTCAATGGAAACAGGTGTTAAAAGAACCCAAAACAAAAAAAAACGTCCACTTTCCAATATCACAATCTGTACTTTTCAGCTCCAGTTTGGACAAACAGGTTTAATTCTCACTTCTGACCAGTCAGTGGGACAGTGGTGAGGTAAAAAGGCTTGAATTCCCCTTTTTTAACTTGCACATGCATTGAATGCATTTTTAGTGCAATGCTAACGGAGCGGTGTTAAATGGAAATGCCTCTGGACGGTGCCCACAGGCTGCCTGTACGCTGTCTGTCAAGTCTGTGCCAAAGTATTTGCATAACGGTGCTTCCCGTTGGGCCTGTTTACAACCAAGAGTGCTACGACCACATGCACATTAGTTACATATTCACAGAGCACACAGTGAATCAGGCTGAGATCTTTTTTTTTTTTTTGACAAAATGCTGCTGCTCTCATATTCAAAGCAGAACATGCCGTCAAGAAATGCTCCTTTGCACTAAGCTCTAAAAAACACACACACAAAGAAGGAAATTCCTGCACAAACAAAATGGGTCCATCTCAGGGACAGAGTGGACGCTGGACGTCAATCAAAATCTAAAAACCAGGAGAGAAGCCTCTGGGTGAGTGTTAGCTCCCGGTTAATGAAGGCTTGAGCCTTGACAGCATGAAATCCTCACCACTACATTAACTAATGGCTTCTACTGGGGACAACTGACAAGACAAAGCACACTCTCACACAGCCGCCTTAAGGTGAGGTTTGGCCAAAGCCGTTACCGTGGAAACGTCTAATTACATTTAGCCGTTTACATCATTTAAAATATGAAACAGGGAAACATTTTAATGAGTTTTTCTGTGGTTACGACTTCCTCAACTTGTTGAATGAAGACTGAATCAGAGCATTTCTTTATTTATCCATTTATTACCAGTTGTTTAATTAGAATGATTTTTTTTTTAAACGGGAAATTCTTCTGAATTTGTTCAAAGTTGCGATTTCCAAGACAAATCATCTCTGTTCAGAAAAAAGCACTGAGACTTTTCTTGGATGTTCAGAAGAATCCGACGGCAGCAAATATCTTAAAAATAAAAACTTGGGAGTGATGCGACACCTCTGAAAGGACATGAAGCCTTCGTCCACCCAGGAGCTAAACTGTTGTTTCAGCTGCGACTCTAAGGTGCAATAATGTATCCTGTATAGAGATGCACAATATTGGATTTTTGGCCGATATCCGATATGCCAATATGTTAAAACTTTTTTGACCGATAACCGATACAATACCGATTAGGTCTGTCATGATAACATACTTTGTTGGGCGATTGTCTCAGAAATTATTGTGATAAACGATAATATTGTTTGAAATTTAACAATAATTATCAAATTTTAAAAAAAACGTTTGGCGTGTTGTACCTTTTTTGACCACCTGATGGCAGTATAAAACTGTTTGAACCAATGAATGGATAGTTGAGCAGCTTGTCTCTAAGAAAAATGGGAGGGAGGGCCCTTGATGTGACATGGGCTGACATGGCGGATGCTCGGTGATTTGGGCTCTTTAGCATAGCATTTTTCACACAAAACGTTTAAATAAAAAAATCCGTAAACAAGTTCTCAGCTTCTTTTTGCAGAGAAAAACAACTTTTTTACACGAAGGCACAGGTTTCAACCGTGAATTTTGGAGCTGGACAAGATGGAGGTTTATTCCCGAGGTCGGCCTGTTAGCTTAGCTCGTAGCTTAGCTTCTCAGCTTAGCTGCTTTTAACGATTCAAAAACGCAATTTTAAACGGTTACAACAGCTTTTAAAGAGAAGAGATAAAGGGAGGGGTCAGTGAAGAGCACCGGAGTTGAGCCGTGTCGTCACAGAGAGACGCACGAAGAAACGATAAAGTCGGTAAATGAAAATGAGGTTGATAATTTTTATTCATCATGAGATTAATTGATTTATTGTTTATCGCGACCGGCCTAATACCAATATTTTTTTCCTAGACCTACTTACAGAGACTACACAGCTTTCTCTGCTGTGGAATTAAAATACTAATGATTCTGCATGATCTTTGTCAGTTTGGCCTGCTACTAAACACAGATGCCAAAAAGGGAGCTGAAAATGATGTAACACTTCAACATGGATTATGTTTAATGTTAAATGTATTCATGACATTTAATCTCTAACACAATGACAACACTTGAACAGTGCAAATTTGTAAACTTTCACAAATCTAAACTCAACCTGTCCACAAGTGACAAGTGAAAAACACATAAGTAGTAGTGCAATAATATATATACTTGACAGTTTCTTTAATTAAAATTTAACATAAAACTTTATATCAGTGAGTTATTTTTGATGGAATGGCTGATGTATTTAACTTTATCGATAATCTCGGCCGATACGATACCATGTCGATAATATCGTGCATCAATCCTTTAGTTTCTGAATCGGTTTAAATTAAGCTTTAATCAGCCTAAAGGAAGAAATCACTTTTTTTTTTAAACTTCATTACTGTTATTAAAACTAAAATCATTTCTAAGACATGGCAGGGATTTTCAGGAACAAGTCTGAACATGATTTTCCAGAACTGCACAAATAACGAGCAAACACTGCTCTGCAAAAACACAAACTTTCATCTCCCCTTCAGAGCTCGCCTGTAATTCGCTCCACCCTCACCGACTGCACCGGATGGTAATTACTGATGTGAAATCCTGCTCCACAGAGCCCAGGGTGTAATTAGTCTTCAAACCAAGGGCACAACTTAACCAGCCACCTCTTATCCAAGGATCCAGGCGAAAAAGACTCGCTGCGTGTTCATCAATCCAAGATCAATTTTCTGTTTTCTGGCAGGAAAGATGACGACAAATAACGAACCGTTTTAAAATGCATGAGACGGACTGTTTCTTAAACTAAATCGTGCTCGGAGACTGAAAAATGTCAGCCCAGGGACACAAGAGGTGGACAATGTCAAAATGTTCTCATCTTCCTAAAATTTGACCTCTGTTTGGACAGTTAAAAAAAAAAAAAAAAAAGCTTAATAAATAAACAATTGTTATCAGATAATTTCTCACGGCAAACATTTTGTCACGATGACTTCCTGGAAACATGTTTGCCGTCATGTTTCAGCAGAAAAACTCCAAGAGCACCATCTGATAGTTCATTTTTATGCACAAAAGATCAATATTACCTTTTATACTGAACTGTGTAATGTTGCACATGTATCTCCGGTTTAAAGGAATTAATCTATCCTTGGACAACAAATTAAAAGATCTTTCAAAAGTAGATTAAAAAGTCACTTCTTTAAAGCTTCCGATTGCGTGTTTGTGCTCTAAACTGGGAGCAGCCAGGCCTGTCCATCCTCCATCCCAACACCCGCCCACTCATTATCAACCAGACCAGGGGTCTGCAACCCACGGCTCTGGGGCCATATGTGGCTCTTTGAAGCTTTGACCGACACCAACATGAAATTTAATCTAATTGGTTTTTATAACCCACAACAGAAAAGGCTAGTTTGAGCGGATCATCTGTGCATTTTCTGTAAATATGCGAATGACGCCACTGCTATTACAAGGTCAGAAGCATGATTAAAGTCAAAGTAAGGACAAAAAAAAAGGTTTTTAATTTTAAAAACGCAATAAGTCCCAATTACATATCCAACAAAATAGCGTTTAAAATGGATGCTTCATTGCTTCAAAGTGGGATGCACAACTCATTTTTCCACAAATTAAAGGAGGTATCATGCCTGCAGAGTTCAGTGCTTTCATTCTTATCAAAATTGGTATAAACTATAACTTTCCTGCAGAAACCCACTTTCAAACTGGCCCCTCCCTCTAACCATCCTAATAATCTCACATGTGAGACTGGGCAGGACTCTGCAGAGTTGCTACTCCAAACTTACTGTCAAAACAACAGTTGTGTGTCTAAGACTATTTTTAAAAAAGGCACACCAACATGTTTAAAAAAAAAAAAGACAAATGCACATCTCAAAATGCTGCTGTAGTTTGGAGCAACTCCTGCAGAGTTGTGACAAAGTACTCACCCAGCAGCAGCAGTTTCACTTCCCTCTGCGACTTCTCATCATCTTCCTTCAGCTTCCTGTCAATCATTTTGGACCTCTCGGCCGCAGCTTTGTCCTCCTGACTAACTGTGCAGCCCATGGTTCCCAGTGCTCGCTTCAGGTCTGCAGCTTTAGTGGCAAAAGTACCAGGAGAAAATAAAATATGACGACGGACTCTGAAATCCCCCTTCTGGTTCAACAGCAGGAGCTGAAGTTGAGCAAGACGACTTCCTTTTTTTTTGGTGAGCTGCGACGAAGATTTATGCGAAAACAAGTAATTTCCTTCAACGACGTGTTTTTTTTTTTTTTTAAATCCACCAACAACAAAAAAACTCCCCTAGTGGCTCTTTCACTTGGTCAGCTTTCAGGGGAAAGAAAAGCACAGCTCAACTAGTCCTCACAGCGGCTCATCAAAGCAGATTAAAAAAGACAAAGTTCAGCTAAAAACAAACAAAAAAAGTATTCCAGCTGTTGAAAAACGAGCGCACACATCCCACGCTGACGGTCACCGCAGCGGACTCACCCTCACTCCTTTTCACTTTTGTTTTTTTAATCTACATGTATAATAAATTGTTTAAACTTAATCCTAACAGCCCTCGCGCATTCTTTCCCCGCGTACAGATTTATTAGTTTGAAGCCACACCCGTTGACGCCGCCGTGAAGTTCACTCTGTGCGCGAGACAGCGCCGCCGTCACCTCTCCCGCCCAGCAGCTGAAGGCCCAACCCTCAACGAGAGGGGCTGCGCTCCATTTACTCTACGGCGCACTTGACGGCGCGTCGAGCAGGCGGCGTGTGCACAATCAGCCTCCTTTCAGATCTATCACCTCGACCTGTTATGTTGATACGACTTGCAACAATGTGGTTTTAAAGGAGGGATTAAGGTCAGGGCATACTCTGGTTATTATACATTTCAGGGTGAGTGTTAACTTGTAACCACCAGCTGCTTTAAAAACCACAATAAACATTTAATTGTTCAATTTTAAGGCTTGTGTTGTTTAAAACAGCGAGGTTTGCTTTCTCTGATTGTCACTGCAATACTCAGTTGTAGGCTATAGCTCAACAAGATTCATTTGCAGCTGTGACTGACAATCTATGAAGGGACTTTAAAACTTTAAATACTTTTAAAAGACACCTTTAACGATTTTAGGCTGGAACTCCAAAAAATCCTGTAGCATTAAAACAATAATAATCACTTTATTCTCATTAAATAAAAAATAGTGTGTATAAAATCATATGGGTCTAGCTATTTTAAGTACGACAGGAATTTATTTACACTAGTCCCTCTACTTTGCGGTTCAACTTTCGCGGACTCGCTCTTTCTCGGTTTTTCAACGCAAGATTGTAACACAACACACGATTGTCAACTTTAATATTACTCACATGATGGGGACGGTACAGGATAAAAAGTTAACGAAAAAAAACTTTGGACAGGTGCCGTCATTTTGTAATTTTCTTTCAATAAGCCAGTCAAAAGAACTACACTACCCACAAGCCAACAGTGCTTCCAGCCTATGGTTTCTGCCAAAATGGAGGGAAAATTTTACAATGCAAAGTCAGAAGTAACGATCCATCTATTAATCTCACAGAACTGGCAAGAAAGTCGCAAATACTCCTGCAGCTTCCCGAAGCACAATTATCCACGTGCACATCAACCTGGATGGGGCGGTGGGCTTCGTCGCTGCAGGGTAGGTCTGCAGAACGGGAACCGAGCTGCTGGTCTGCAGAGCGGGTGAGTAAAATTTTGCAGTACAGTAGTTCCTCGCTACTTCACGGTTCGTTTATCGCGAACTCGCTCTATCGCAGTTTTTCCAAAATAAGATTGGACATGACACACAATTGGCTGATTGATGGATGAGCCACACGATCGGCATGGAATTTTTATTTAAAATAAATTATTTTAAATTAATAATAATAATAAACAGTTGCAGGATAAGCTTCCTGCTGCAGCCTGCAGCTGATCAGCTGTTCTCTGCGCAGAGCAGAGTGGTGGGCGTGGCCGAAGGCACTTGCAGGTGGCAGAGAGCAGAAAGCATGACATATTGTGATTTTTTAGAGCATTTAGAGTTTAGAAACATTGATTAGAATATTGCAAGAGTGTGGGAAGGGTTTAAAACACCTTTATATATATATATATATATATATATATATATATATATATATATATA